CCTCACAGCACTTGATAAGTTTGTTGAAGAAAATGGGACTGATGCGCTGAAGAAACTGGCGAATAAGGTACAGGAACCTTCTATAGTTGTCCCCACTTTGTGCACTTAACAACATTGCCGAATGCTTACTTTGAATTTGAGGTAGTTGTTCATGCTTGTTCCCAGTTGACTGTGATCCTTTGGTGATGATAATCATCACTATGTTTATGGTGACATCATTTTGATATGTGATGCATACCTTGTCTTTAGTCTAAAGTTTGATGGTTATATCATGTACTCCCTCAGCGCTAACTCATTGATATCTGTCATGCTAGTTCAGCTGTAATAGTGAAGCTAGTTGTTTTGTTGGCTCATGTGGACCGTGTGATTATTTATTTTGAGAAAACCAAGCTGAGAATATGCTTCTTTTGTTCCAAATGACAATCAGGCTATTGTTATTCTGACGTCTTGCGATCTGTATTGCAGGCTGGCAAGTCATTTAAACAGTCTGGGAAATCATCTAAAGATTCGAAAGAGTCAAAATCATCCAAGGAGTCGAAAGAGTCAAAATCATCCAAGGATTCCAAAGAACTGAAGCCATCAGAAGATGCAAAGCAATCCAAGACATCAAAAGATTCGAAGGAGCCAAAGTCACCAAAGGATTCCAAAGAACAGAAGAAGGCGGCGCTGAAAGATCTCAAGAAAGCACTGAAGGATTCTAAAGAACTGAAGAAAGCGCTAAAGGACTCGAAAGAACAGGAATCAGTGGAAGACCCAAAGGAACATACGGCAAAGAAGGCCGGCAAGCGTGTGACGTTCGCCGAGGTGGAGCCCGAGAAGGAGCTCAAGGCCTTGAACAGTGACTGGCACCCGTCCTCCGATTTCCACGGCGCATACCCTGAGCAGAACTCATGGGCTAGCAGCTTCATGATCTTCGAGGACGAAAACAGTTACTGGAACCGAGGTCACCTAGACTGGTAAACACTTAACTCATCTGAATCATTTTACAGTCTCACATTACGAATGTTTATGACGATCATCTGCCTTTTTTTGTGTAGCTGAGATCAAATGTATCGAGGCGGACATTTTTTTGGTCCGTTAGCAGTGAAAGGGCCCAGTTCATCTTCAGCTGAGGAAATGGGGTCTCACTCGCATTGTGGCGACTTGCGAGTTGCGCCTGCCGTTCCCTCTGGCTCTGTCATGTAACATATTTGTCCGACATATATACCTGTAGAGTGTAGAATTATGCAGTGTGGATGGTGAACCGGTGATGTTGTGTTTGAGGCGGCGAACCTTGCTAGTCAGGAGAATTGAGATAGTAGCAGTGTGTTAAATCTTATCTGGTGTCTGGGTGTGTTGCTTACTGCTCCGTTTCCATTCTCTAAGGCTGTCTCCAACAGTCCAAAATAGGTTTCTAACACAATATCTATAGCCTCCAACAGAGTACTTATATGGAAGATTCATTTTGGGTGCCAGGAGAGGCATAACTCAAATCTGAGTATCCTCTCTTCTGGAGACCTATTTGCAAAAATGGTTGCTTTTTGGGTTTTGTTGTTTGAGAAGACTAAAAATAGATATTGAATTCTTTGCCTGTAGAGTTACCTAAAGGACGAATGAGTCTTATATTTTAGGATGTGGTTGTTGGAGATAGTCTAATGGATCCCGGGTCCATCCAATTTACTTCGCTACAATGTGCCACAAAAGTCTGACATTGCTGAAAAGATCCCTAAAATCGTGCTAACTTGCTGTTACCAGTGCCATATTTGAACCTGAAATCTTATTGAAGATAACTAGCACAATTTTATAGGGAATTTATGAAACAAGTTTAGACTAGTTATTGTATGATTCTAGCCTTCTAGGAAAACGTATTTGCGTTTTGAACTAAGGATCCTGTTGCAACGCAGGGTTCATAGGTGTAACACCCTAAAAATTATATCATTTTAAAATAGGTGAATTTGATTTAATTATGTATTTTGTTAGCATTTAAATTTAGAAAAATAATAACTTTGTTAAAATTAAAATCAAATATAAGGTCTACATACATGTATGTGCATATATGCTACTGCATATTTTATTTGTGGTTTGATTTGGTCAAAATTTGCAAAAGGATTTAAGGTTGAATTCAAATTGGATTTGAAATGGTGTTTAAGAAAATAGAAAAGGAATCTTATTTTTTTTCTTCTCCCTCTCTTGAATTTGGTCCGAGCAGCCCAGCTTGGCTTGGCTTCTTAATTGACCGTTTTCCCCCCATGCCCAGCTTTCTTCCCGTCGCAGAGGCCGCCATTGCCCATGTCTCATGGTTGGTCCAAGAATCCGATTTTGCAAGCTGCCCAAAGATAGCCGCCTCAAGATCGTTCCCCTCTCGCGCTTTGTGCGTCTGTCGTCGGCCCCGCGATTAGCGACCTTTCATTCTTCTTCCAGCGTGTCTCGGCCGGACACGACCATCGCGCCGCCGAGTCCGCTCCGCCTACGCCTTGATCCTTGCCATGTAGCCCAAGGCTCCCCGGGCCTTAAATACCAACTGCTCGCGCTGGTGTTGCCCTATCCCAAGCCTCGAACCTACAACCGCCTTCGCCGAGTTGCCGCATCCGCCAAACCCTAGCCGCCATCACCGCCCGATTCGCCGCCACACCGCGCATCGCCCTCCATCGCTCTGCACCTCGGTAAGCTACCTCGCGCGGGCTCGCCGTTTCTTCCTCTATCTCCCAGTGCCCTTTGGTATGCTATTCCGCGGCCCGTGGGCCCTTCTTCAAGATCGCCGACGAGTTTTTCATGACCGGTCATGGCGTCGCCGTCGCTTTGCTCACCGCCGGCGGTCATCCTCTCCCGATCTATTTTGGGCCGTCCGATCTTGATCCGGCGGCCGTTATCTCGCCATACCGATTTGCCTGACCTATTTGCAAAAGAACCCCTAAAGTTTTCTATGTGTTAACCCGTGGTCCAAAGCGTATTCCTAAAATACGTTTTCTTCATTTGATAACGTAGTTTTGTCGATTAGATCTAAAATTCGTTTTCATCTATTTACAATTTTGCCACTAATCTTGTTTTAGCCATAAAATCTTCGTTTTAACTCCGATTTGATCCATTCAAGTTGCGTTAGATTCGTAATTGAGTAATCTACATATTCATCCTACTGTTAGACATGTTTTCAACTTTTAAAATTTGAGGTTAGATTTAATCTATTATTTTAATAAAGGAAATCTTGTTTAATTTATAACTTTTTTCGTTTTAGCTACAATTTTCGTGATCTTCGTGTTTGTGTGTTCATAGCGAGATGTAGATTTATTTTACAAACTTTTCATCTTGATTTTATGCTATTGGTGTTCTGTTCTAATCTATAGTCATTGTTTGCTATGTATGTTTGCTTTTGGATGCTTGTATGTTGTTGTGATTATCGAGTATAGACGGTGATCAATTCATGGGTGATCAAGAGTACTACTTTGACGGGCAGGATCAGTAGGAACACTTTGTTTAAGACAGGTATAGCATGGGATCATCATTGTTTTCTATCAATTTTAATACATTTAATTCATATTGCATGTGTCACCTTGATAGGGATTCCCTAGAATTAAACTTATACCTTGTCTTCTATAGGATATTCATTGAGTAGCTTTGCTAGTGCTCAATTAAACCATGATCTTGTAACTTGACTAATGGTATATATAATAAATATTAAAACATGACTTTTTAGCAATTTAGAAACAGGGGGCTGGAGTGTTTAGCTACTTTTTAAATGCTTCAGATTCCTCTTCCTAAGAACTTATCTGTAAGTGATCATCTATGACTTACAGTACAGCTGTGAGAGCCAGATGGCTCTGGCTTTAGCTCAGTATGAGGATATTTTCTAGCTTGTTAGAGGTTACCTTTGTGGCGTAAGAATGGCTTGCCGAATCGGGTATAGGACAACCTCTACTCTTATGTGTATAGCCGTGATAGAATTGTGCCATTCAACAGGAGTTCCTATATCTGTTTGTCGAGTGAATCTAATTGCCCTAACTTGTTAGATGAACCTTTGAAAGGCTTCATAGTGAATCATGCCTGCTCACCTTGGAAGTGTTTTGGGAGTAATTAATCCGGGCATATGGGTATCACGACTCACAGTGAAAGTGTACAACCTCTGTAGAGCGTAAAACTGGTATATCAGCCGTGCTCACAGTCACGAGCGGCCTTGAAAGCCTTATGGAATTGATGATCACTATTAATTATTCGTTTATGCTATTCATTATTCCTGTTACATTGATCATGTGTTTACTATGGGATTAAAACAACTTGTTGCTACTCCTATGCTAAAATTATGACAATTAAAAGCTGAATGCTGTTAAACCTGTGTCAAGCTTTTTGAGCCTCATGAACCCCATGTTACCCTTGTTGAGTACGACACGTACTTATGCTTGTTTATTTTTCATTATTTGGATAAAAATCCCGGATGGGTAACAAATAGCTATGGTAATGACGGCTTTTATGAGGATTACTAGACTTGTGGTCAACCAGTTGACGTCCCTGTGATATGGAGCTTCCACGAGAGATTTTTGGCGCCGTTCGCTGACCAGCCGGCTGATCCCCCTCACAAGCCACTGTTCATCAACCTGCCACTACAGTGTTTCTCTCTCACAAAACCAGCCAGTTTCAGCCAAGTTTCAGACCAGCGAACGGGGCATTTCTTTATACTTTCCCTACATTTATGTGAAGACTCTGTCTTATTATACGTGATGTAATAAACACTTGTGATGATATTATCTATAATTTATCGGCTTATGTGTGTGACTGATCTCTAGGTGCACATAAGATTATGCATCATATTTTATTCTTACAATCGGGTGTGATAATAGGATTCCTACAGAAATTCACATGAATCAGATTAATTTTACAGAAAAAAACACAAGTTAAAAATCCTGGAACCAAAAGGATATGTTGACCGATTCGAAAAAAAAAGAGGAGAGGAAGAAAAAAAAAAGGATATGATGACCGAAGTGCGTATTGGGCTATAAACCGAGACGGGGCATTGCAGGCCATATAGGATGATGGGCAGAAGCCTCTTTTCTCCGGCCCAGAACGGCATCTCCGTGGCTCTCGAGCTCCCAGTCCCAGGGCGGCGGCCTCGTCGTCGTCGAGCAGCAGTGCGGAGTGAGGCCACCTCGCCTGGGAACCCTAACCTCCCATTCCCCAATCCACTCCCCTCCCCATCTCATCCGTTTCCCGCGGTCTCGACGGGACGCGGTGGAGTGGCGACCCGCCGCAGCCGGCATACGGCGGAGGCAAGGAGTCAGAGCGGCGGCAGCGGCGAGCAGAGCAAGCACCGAGCTGGGCAGCAGGTCAGTACTCAGCTCCTGAATCTTTCCTCATTACGCTTGGAAAAAGCGCGTTTCATTCAACTCAAGGGTCCAAAATGTTGATGTCCGATCCGACAGTGAATGGAACCAGTGACGCATCTTTTTTTTTTTTTTTGGTTGTTGAAATGCAGCAATTAGTTGAAGACTTAGGACATGACGAAGAAACAGAAGACAATGGATTTGAAGTCTATGTGGGAAAGGTCTGGGAAGGCGCATAAGACCGCTTCCACATCGGTGCCGAAACCTCCGTCGATTTTGATTCAGAGCTTGAGGTTTATTTTGCGCCAAGGTTTGGCTTTTCGTGGGCATGACGAAATCAAAGACTCGCTGAACCAAGGGAATTTTCATGAGCTCTTGAAATGGCTGGCAGACAATTTGGATGGAGCGAACAAGGCGGTCTGCTGAATGCTCTGAACGATCCGGAGATGACCGGTCTGAAAATGATGGAAGGTCTCGTTAACGCTTGTGCCAGAGAAACTACTAGGCTTATCAGGCAAGACCTTGGGGAGGAAAAATTTGCAGTACTTGCTTGTCTATTTACCGATGCTTGCCATAATGAACAGCTGGTTGTTTGCTTGCGGTATGTCTGACAAGAAAGGGAGGGTAGTTGAGAGGTTTCTTGGAGTTGTGCATGTTGAGAACCCGGAGGCCGCAACAATTAAAGCTGCAATTGAATCCTTGCTCAGGGATCACTCTTTGAGCTGGTCTTGGGTCCGAGGACAGGGGTATGATGGAGCAGGCAACATTAGGGCTCCCGTGAAGGGTCTAAAGAAAATAATCATGGATGAGTTTCCTTCCGCTCACTATGTCCATTGCTTTGCGCAGGAACTGCACTTGGTACTTGTTCCTGCTCTTAAGGAGAATGGTGCTTGTGCTGATTTCATTGAGCAACTTGGATTTTTGGTGAGCTTGCTTGAAATATCCTGCAGAAAAGCTCAAATGCTTCAAGTACCTGAAGCTCAACAGGTTCTTGAAGGTTTGAATCATGAGAAGTGCTTTAGTAAATGGGATGATCCTGGTCGGGGATTTCATTATAAAACTTGCTTACAAATTTACATACTGTATCCCACCATTAGAAGTGTTCTCATCATGATTGGAGGAGACCGTACTCACGGTGCAGAGGCTGTCAATGCTCGAAAAATGTTGAAGAATGTATTGGGATGCACATATACCTTAAATAGATGTTTGCAAATGAGAGACTCTTTTATGGTCAATGGCATTGAACTCATTGATACTACAAAGGAACAGTTAGAAATAATGCAAGGGAATGATGAATGGGTAAATTTTCTTAAAGATGTCACTACTTTTTGTGCGAAGCATGGCATCAAAGTCCCTAGCATGGATGATATTTATGAGCCAGTTTTAAAACCAAAGGGGTTCTTGAGAAAAGTCAAGAATCTCCAACATTACGGTGTCGAAATTTTGACAAGCATCCTTGATAGAGCACTTCAAGAGTTAAATGACAGGTTTGATGAGATGAACACAGATTTTCTTCTTAGCATGGCATCACTAGATCCAGCAAAATCATTTTACCCGTATAACAAGGACAAGTTACTTAAACTTGCTAGGTCTTATCCTGAGGACTTCTCAAGATTTGTTGCATCTTCCAAGCCATCTTACACGGTTTAGTGCTGATATGCGTGAGGATGAAAGGTTTAGAAAAGTGAAAAGTTTTGTTGAGCTTTCTGTTATGCTTGTCAAAACCAAGAAGAGCCTCAAACATCCTCTTGTTTACAAGCTTCTTAAATTGGTGCTGCTTCTTCCCATAGCAACTGCTAGCGTTGAAAGGGTATTTTCTGCAATGGATCTTGTTAAGAATAAGCTGACAAATAGAGTGGGGGAACAATTATTGAATGATTGCCTGGTTACATTCATTGAGAGGGAGGTTTTCATGCAAGTTAAGGATGAGGCCTTGGCATCTTGCTTCCAAACCATAGTAGGAGCATAAAGCCACAAGGAGCGCTGGCTGTAGAGCTGAAGCTAATGGTGAGTAATTCATTATGGACTGAGGTGCAAGAGGGAGCTGTTATGGGTTTTAGTATGCTTGAAGCCAAATCCGTAACAAAACATGTGACCTGACTTGCTGCCTACTCTTGATGAGAGGAACCCTTGCCGCATTATGCATGACGTGCTGTTTTGCTGCATGAATTACTATGGGCTCCTTGCCGAGGATCAGAGCAAGCTGGATGTGCCCATTGCTCTTACTCCAGAGAACTACCTGTCAAGGTATCTTCAGACTCTTGTATCGAAAGCAGGTATGCCAAACTCTATCCACCATACTCTGAAGTTTTTGTTATGATCGACACCTTAGTCACATTTGTGTATCTCTTGGTGTTTTTCTGGTACAGAGACTGCACATTTCTCTCTTAATTCTTTGCAATGTTGCTCCGTGTCTTGATCAGTAGAATCATAGTCAACTGTTTATTTCTGATCTATTATTGTAGTAGCTGCACAATAAATGATCTCTAGCAGTTGTTGGTTAGTTTGGCAGTGCATATTGGCCCTTCTAGGCTGGCCGTTGTATATGTGTGCATATGCTTCTCAGTCAGCCATTTTGTTATACTTGGTATCAATTCTAGTTTATATTGTCTCCATTTGATGAGTGTTGAACAGTGTTTCCTTTCTAGCCTTGCCATGTATGCAAGTTTCTTTCGTTTAGGGCTATAGGATCACCGTATTTAAACTTTAACACATACTGGTCTGTACACTCCGTGCTGGCTGATTATAAATTATAGTATTTTATTAGGTTGGACTGGAGTAGTCAAGTGGGCAGATGATGAAAACACCTATGATGTCTCATGATGGTCTCCTGAAAGCTTATTGATGCAACATTGTTTTCTGATGCTAAGCTCCAATAATTCCTGTTTGGAAGATTTACCCACTGATACCATAATGCAGAAATGATGCTACTCTTGGTGGTTCTTTAATCATTCACATTGTCAAGTCACTATCTTTTCTGAACATTGATAGTAGCTTTTGGATCACGGTGCTGATTTGGCAGGCAAAAATTGTCGACATCCTCTTGTTTATGGTGATGGTCACGTTTGAGAAGCACATTGACCTGTCATTGGCCAGCCCATTCAGTGGCGGTCCCCCTGTTAGGGTGAAACAAGCCGAAGTGGGCAAATTGGGCGGTAGCTGTGCCGGTGGTGAGGAAGAAGATGAGGAAGGACTAATGATAAGATAAAGAGCGTGACTACTAGATGTTTAACGCTGTGTGTAGCCGTCTACTCGTCTTCAGATGTTAAAGATTTGAGTGGCAGGTGTAGCCTAGCCCAAGATCTGCAGCCTGTGTGTAGTATGCTATATCGTCTTCAGATTTGGAAGTTGGAATGTAGTTGCACTATGCTGTATAATTTTTTTTTTTGGGTACAGCTCTAGTCTAGTATGCTATATCGTGTTAAAAGTGGTGATAAATATTGGCAGGTTGACTTCAGGTTCACACACCAGTGATGCATCCATGCTGCCACTTTGATATCATCTTAACAAAAGCATTACACAAATTATTGTTCCCATCATCTGGTTGCCTGCTGTTTTTCACGGCCTCATGATTGGTGCCATGCCCACGCTTAGCTTCATTCATCCTTGTTAATTAGGAGAATTGAGATAGGCATTGTGTTAAATCTTATCTTGTTAGTTAGGAGAATTGAGATATTAGCATTGTGTTAAATCTTATCAGGTGTCTGGATGTGTTGCTTGCTGCTCCTTGCTGCATTTTCCAGTATCTACAATGTGCCACAAAAGTCTGACAGTGCTGAAAAGATCCCTAAAATCGTGCGAACTTGCCGTTACCAATGCCATATCTGAACCTGAAATCTTATTGAAAATAGTTTTAACGAATTTATGAGACATAGTTCTTGTAAGATTCTAGGAAAACGACATGCGCTCTCAACCAAATCTGTAGGAAATGAAATCCTCCAAACCAAAGTGCGTATGCAACGCGTGGAGGGCCAACTTTTTTTTTTTTGAGAAAGAAACGACAAGAGTAGGAAAAAGGTTATTTGGCCTCCCTCAACTATTGTATAAGTTCGATTTACCACCGTTAGTTAGAAAATCATTTTTTGACCCATCCAACTATTAAAATTGTCCGGTTTACCTTTCGTAGTGGTTTTGAGAGTGGTTTTAGCTGACGTGGCGTTGCATCAGCCATCCTATATGGCGCAAAGTCAGCCACGATGGAGGTAAATCAGAGTTTCATGATAGTTTAGAAATCAATTAGACTTTGTAAAAGAAGTTATACAAATATTTTTTTTAAAAATTATCTGAATATTTTTCTATAATAAATATACATTTACAAATACTAAAATCTGATTTAATACTATAAAATTTATTTAACTCAGGAAATTGTTTTCTAAAATCATGCTATATCTTTTCGTTCCTTTCTTAGAATCATTTGAATCTTATATGGTCTCCTAAAATTTGAATTGGCTAAACACGAAACAGAGGATACAAACCAAAATAAATTATTGCAGACCGTAGTGTGGAGCGCCGTGCAACCCACCACGTAAACTACTAAAAGTTTCTTGGCGGCAATGTCACATGTACAAGAAATCCAAACAAAACATATAATTCAAACTCTGATTGCATATTAGCAACATGTATCATGTGGTTAAACTTTGTAGCAACGTTGTCTTCTTCAAGGGACACACGACAATGCCTTGTATAGGCTCATTGGACCATTAGCAGCAGTTGACATGCGACTTCTTAGTCTCCCAAACCAACTTCTGTGACTTGGCCGATAACATCTGAATGGACGTGACCACTTTTTTTTTTTTTTTGTTGTCGCCGTTGCAGGTTTGGACATTCACCGATAGCGCATGATTTAGCAAAGTGGCATTTTGGATATTTTTTTTTGAAAACTTGTTTATACAAATTTTTAGGAGCATGATTTTAGGAAAAATATGAATCATGTTTCATATTTTTTTGAAAACTTATTTGCACAAATATTTGGATATTTTTCTTGAAAAAATATTTCTACAAACTTTTTATAAAGTCTAATTGGCCACCCTGAATTATAGCTCCCTCGTGGCTGATTTGGTGTCACATAGGACGGCTGATGTCACGGCACGCTAGCCAAAACCACTCTTAAAATCGCTTATGAAGATAAACCGGATGGTTTCATTGAGGGCTCCTTTGGAAGCAAAGGGGAGCAAAACCCAGGGATGGAAACCCCCCACTAAGAACTAGAATGATAATTAAAATGATATCCCCATGGATTACCCATTCAGGGAAAAGTGCGGGATGCCGGAGGAATTGGAGTTTCCAAATTAGGCCTGAAGAGTCTAAATCCGATTTTCTATTTTTTAGGGGAATCTGATTTTTTTTAGAAACATCTGATTTTCTAATTCAGAGAGGTAAATCGTGTAATAGTTTCTTTTCGGCACAAGAGTACCGGGCCGTATATTGTGATGGGCCGAAGCCTCTTATCTCCGGTCCAGAACGGCATCTCCGCGTGGGTGGCTCTCGAGCTCCCAGGGCGGCGGCCTCGTCGTCGTCGAGCCGCAGGAGTGAGGCCACCTCGCCTGTGAGGCTGGGAACCCTAACCTCACACTCCCCTCCCCCAACTCATCCGCCTCCCGCGGTCTCGACGGGACGCGGTGGAGTGGCGACCCTCCGCAGCTGGCATACGGCCGAGGCGACGGCGGTGAGCACACCGAGCAGGGTAGCAGGTCAGTACCCGAATCATTCCTCACTAGGCTTAGAAAATGCGCGTTTGATTCAGCTCAAGGAACCGATCCCACATTGAATGGAACCAGTGACGCATCTTTTTCTTTGGTTGTTGAAATGCAGAAATTAGTTGAAGACTTAGGACATGACGAAGAAACAGAAGACAATGGATTTGAAATCTTTGTGGGAAAGGTCTGGAAAGGCGCAGAAGACCGCTTCCACCTCGGTGCCGAAACCTCCGCCGATTTTGCTTCGGAGCTTGAGGTTTATTTTGCGCCAAGGGTTGGCTTTTCGGGGGCATGACGAAATCAAAGACTCGCTGAACCAAGGGAATTTTCTTGAGCTCTTGAAATGGCTGGCAGATAATTTGGATGGAGCGAACAAGGCGGTTCTGCAGAATGTTCTGAACGATCCTGAGATGACCAGTCCGAAAATGATCGAAGGTCTCGTTAACGCTTGTGCCAGAGAAACTACTAGGCTTATCAAGCAAGACCTTGGGGAGGAAAATTTTGCAATACTTGCCTGTCTATTTACCGATGCTTGCCATAATGAACAGCTGGTTGTTTGCTTGCGGTATGTTGACAAGAAAGGGAGGGTAGTTGAGAGGTTCCTTGGGGTTGTGCATGTTGAGAACCCGAAGGCCGCAACAATTAAGTCTGCAATTGAATCCTTGCTCAGGGAACACTCTTTGAGTTGGTCTAGGGTCCGAGGACAGGGGTATGATGGAGCAGGCAACATGAGGGCTCACGTGAAGGGTTTAAAGAAAATAATCATGGATAAATCTCCTTCCGCTCACTATGTCCATTGCTTTGCGCAGGAACTGCACTTGGCACTTGTTCCTGCTCTTAAGGAGAATGGTGCTTGTGCTGATTTCTTTCAGCAACTTGGTTTTTTGGTGAGCTTTCTTGAAATGTCCTGCAGAAAAGCTCAAATGCTTCAAGTACCTGAAGCTCAACAGGTTCTAGAAGGTTTGAATCAAGCGAAGTTCTCTAGTAAAAGGGATGATCCCGGCCTGGGATTTCATTATAAAACGTGCGTACAAATTTCCATCCTGTATCACACCATTCGAAGTGTTCTCATCATGATTGGAGGCGACCATACTCACGGTGCAGAGGCTGTCAATTCTCGAAAAATACTGATATATTTTGAGTCATTTGAGTTTGTTTTCATGACACACATGTTGATGGATGTATTGGGATACACATATGCCTTAAATAGATCTTTGCAAATGAGAGACAGTTTTATGATCAATGGCATTAAGCTCATTGATACTACAAAGCATCAGTTAGAAAAAATGCTGGGGGATGATAAATGGGAAAATTTTCTTAAAGATGTCACTACTTTTTGTGCGAAGCATGACATCAAAGTCCCAAGCATGGATGATATTTATGAGCCAATTTTAAAACCAAAGGGGTTCTTGAGAAAAGTCAAGAATCTCCAACATTACCGTGTTGAAATTTTCACAAGCATCCTTGATAGAGCACTTCAAGAGTTGAATGACAGGTTTGATGAGATGAACATAGATTTTCTTCTTGGCGTGGCATCACTTGATCCAGCTTGTTCATTTTACCCATATAACAAAGACAGGTTACTTGAACTTGCTTGCTCTTATCCAGAGGACTTCTCAAGCACAGATTTGTTGCATCTTCCAAGCCAGCTTACACGGTTTATTGCTGATATGCGTGAGGATGAAAGGTTTAGAAAAGTGGAAAGTTTTGTTGAGCTTTCTGTTATGCTTGTTAAAACCAAGAAGAGCCTCAAACATCCTATTGTTTACAAGCTTCTTAAATTGGTGCTGGTTCTTCCAATAGCAACTGCTAGTGTTGGAAGGGTATTTTTTGCAATGGATCTTGTTAATAATAAGCTAACAAATAGAGTGGGGGACCAATTATTGAATGATTGCCTGGTTCCATTCATTGAGAGGGAGGTTTTCATGCAAGTTAAGGATGAGGAATTGGCATCTTGCTTCCAAGCCATAGTAGGAGCATAAAGTCACAAGGAGCGTTGGATGTAGAGCTGAAGCTAATGGTGAGTAATTCATTATGGACTGAGGTGCAAGAGGGAGCTGTTATGGGTTTTAGTACAAAGCAAGTGACCTGACTTTACTCTTGATGAGAGGAACCCTCGCCACATTAAGTATGAAGTGCTGCTTTGCTGCATGAGCTACTATGGGCTCCTTGCCGAGGAGCAGAGCAAGCTGGACGTGACCATTGCTCTTACTCCAGAGAACTACCTGTCAAGGTATCTTCAGACTCTTGTATTAAAGGCAGGTATGCCAAACTCTATCCACCATACTCTGAAGTTTTTGTTATGATCGACACCTTAGTCACATTTGTGTTTCTCTTGGTGTTTTTCTTGTACAGAGACTGCATGTTCTCTCTTGATTCTTTGCAATGTTGCTCCGTATCTTGATCAGTAGCATCGTAATCAACTGTTCATTTCTGATTTGTTTTTGTAGTAGCTGCACAATATTGGTTACTTTGGCACTACATATTGACCCTTCTAGGCTGGCCATTGTATATGTGTCCATATGCTTTTCAGTCAGCCATTTTCTTATACTTGGTATCCATTCTAGTTCATATTTTGTCTCCATTTGACGAGTGTTGAACTGTGAATCTATCAGTCTACATCATAGACAACTATGCTACAAGCATCATCACATGCCTCTTCCTTGGACCTTTTCCTTTCTAGCCTCGTCATATGTCATGTATGCAAGTTTCTTTGGTTTAGGGTTTAGGGGTATAGGATCACCTTATTTAAACTTCAAATATACTGGTATGTACACTCTGTACTGGCTGATTATAAATTCTAGTATTTTGTTAGGTTGGACCGGAGCAGTCAAGTGGGCAGATGATGAGGACACCTACTATGTCTCATGATGGTCTCCTGAAAGCTTATTGATGCGACATTGTTTTGTGATGCTGAGCTCCAATAATGTGTGTTTGGAAGATTTACCCACCGATACAATAATGCATAAATGATGTTACTCTTGGTGGCCCTTTAATCATTTACATTGTCAAGTCAGTATCTTTTCTGAACATCAATAGTAGCTTTTGGATCACTGTGCTGGATTGGCAGGCAAAATTATCAACATCCTCTTGCTTTTGGTGAGGTCTGAGTCTGAGATGCACATTGACCTGTCATTGGCAAGCACATTCAGTGGCGGTCCCCTTGTTAGGGTGAAAGAACCAGAATCGGCAAGTTGGGTGGTGGCTGTGCTGGTGGTGAGGAAGAAAGGAATGACTAATGAGAAGATAAAAAGTGCGACTTCTGTTTAACAATGTATAGCCGTCGACTCGTCTTCAGATGTTAAAGAGTTCTATGGCAGGTGTAGCCCAGCCCAGATCTACAGCCTGTGTTCAGTTTCAGAGTTTTAGCAGGCTGTCATTCAGGTGGCGGCTTTGTTCATTTCGCACTGTGTACGCTAGCTCAAGTTTTGGTATCTCTGGAGTTTCCTTGGAAGTTGGAATGTAGTTCCACTATGCTGTATTTTTTTTTAGTACAGTTCAAGTCTAGTATGCTAGTATGTCGTGTTAAAAATGGTGATAAATATTGGCAGGTTGACTTCAGGTTCAGACACCAGTGATGCATTCATGTCTGCCACTTTGATATCATCTTAACAAGAGCATTACACAAATTACTGCTCCCATCATCTGTGTTGCCTGCTGTTTTTCACGGCCTCATGATTGGTGCCATGCCCACGCTTGCTTTCATTGATCCTTGTTAGTTAGGAGAATTGAGATAGTAACAGTGTGTTAAATCTTACTAGTGATTTGCTTGTGGCGCCCATGCTTGGCGTTTTAACAGAAAAACCGGATTTCTAAACTGGATGCAAGATGTTCAAATACTACATGTATATTACATGAAACACAAAGCTGGATTTCTAAACCGGGATGCGAGGTGTCGAAATAGTACATATATATCTTACATGAGACAGTCCTAGGTTTGGATATTCTTAATTTCTATCTATGTGACATATGCTGTATCATCATCGATGCTGAAAGTGTGTTCTTGTTTCACTCGAGGAGGCATGTTTCATGGAGAAGGGGTGATGCTGCGGCTTAAAGACAGATGATCGAATATCTTGGGAAGGTGATCCTCTTCCTCCATTGCTGAGTGTTTCCTGTGTAGGGAGTTCTTAAGAAGAGATGGGAGTAGGTAGGCCTGAATCGAGCAAAACAACGAACAAACACATTCCCAAACATACTCTGCATCTATTTCCTTGTTCACCATCAAAAGTATAGATAACAATTTATCCATAGCTCAGCCGCAAAAGAACCTAAACAAACAGTCTAAGCAGCGGAACCTCTTTAAGAAAGCAATGACATTGGCTTGCTATATCTTCACACTTCTCTGAATCACACTGGTTAATAGCAGCACCAACATTTGCCACTTCGGTAGCTCTGGTTGGTAGAGAAACAGACGCATGAGCTACCTTTCTGTACAGAACTAATCCCTGAGCTACCCATAGACATTTTGTACTCCTAGGTAGTACGATACTACCTGTAGGGTAGCCAGCTCATATGCACGGGCATGATCTGACTGCATAGGAAACCAAACGAAAATGCTCTGATTCCCTGAATGACACCTGGCAGTGGCAACTCAACTCCACCCTGCACATGACAGCCACATCCTTAGGAATTTCTCAAACCAAAGACATATAGGGTAAAGAACAACGAAATCACACTCCATGTGCAGCTGCTATAAGAAAAAAAAACATAAGTAACTCGATGAAATCAGACACACCACACCACACTGCAGGCCTCAAAACCCAGGAAAGAAAACAAAGCAGTTGAGGGAAAGAAACTCACCGAATCTAGCTGATTTTCAATTTCTTGGAAACAACAACTCCCTTTCGTTGGCCACCCTGCAGCATAAAGCACACATAAAAGAAGCATCAGGAACAATGGAAGAAAAAATGCGAGAAACACACAAAAGGCAAAAGGCAAAGACCAATTGGAGAACTCAGGTCTGTTCACCAAGATTCCAAAGACCAATCAAGCTAGTTGCAAGTTTCATCACCTTTTTTTTGTATTGCTTCATTGCGTGATCCACTTATGCTTTATATATTATTTGGAAATGCTAACAAGGAACTATATAAATTGGCAATCCAGCAAGGCAATTCCTGAGGAGTGAGCAACAAAAATCAAGTTGCAATCCAGTAATGCAAGCTGATAGCCTAAGTAGAAAACAACTAAGAAGAGGTAGGTGGCTAAAATGCAGAGATCTTTTTTACTACACTCTAACACATTGACTCTATCTATGTAGAGGGGATGGAACCCAGTCATGGAAATATTACTAAAATGGGCTATGGCATAGATAAACCAAGATTAAGACATATATTTGCTTGTATATTTATATTTCATTTCAAGTATAAATAGCTTTCCTCGGTAGCTATGCACAGAATCACACACATGTATCATAGGCGGTCATCTGAAGTATAGAACAAGGTCACTTTCCTCGGTAGCTCAGATTGTTGTCAACCAGAGGAGATCTGCACACACATAGATGGAGAAGTCATTAGGCTTTGGTATGATAACACTAAACTATTAAAGGGTCTAAATCTAAACAACTCATAGGCACCATGTGCTACCTTCTGGCCTCCCTGTGTCCAATTAATTTTATGTAGTATAGGATATAGTATTTTGTATCAAGACAACTCCATCAATAAAATACCAAGTTCTATAACTCCATAAATCGTGAAATGTTTGCCTAAATAAAAAATGACATTTTCCCTTATGGAGCAAAGCAAGATGGTAACAATTTGCAATAGGGAAATTGAAAATATGAGATGCTAATGTCGATTGGGAGCTTTCTAACCTTTGTCTAGGCAACAAACACATATGGTACGGTAGAGTACGTCAAATCGAGATATGATCATGAACTAGTAAATCTGCCCAAAGCAAATAAAAATGGATCAAAACAGATATCGAAATAATCAAGCAAAGGGATAAAAGAAAAGAAGGGAAACCAAAATACCATGCTTCATCCCTGCTATGCAAGTAGCAGTGTTCATCTACTCCGTTGCCCACCTTCTTCCTTTTCTGTTTCCCAGCTTCATCCATGCTTCTGGCTAATCAGCTACTGTGGCCAGCGCCTATCTACTTCGCTGCTGTAACACCCCGGTGTTATGCCTACATTTAGGCACTGCAAATCATGCATATCATGCATCATCAAGCATCCTAATCATACATGCATAATCTTGCATATAATAACTGAAACATTACTTCGAAACATACGAAATATGTTTGTGAAACGTAAATGATGCATACATTTATTAGAGTTGTTTTGCTCTGATTCTTGCTTGCTAGGTTAGTAGAACATGTTTGGCTGCTATTGTAAATCATCTAGCAATATTTAGTTCAATTTTTGGAGCAATGTGTGTATTCAAATTAATTCAAAATTTGGCTTCAAAAATAAATTCCAAAAATTAGGGTTTTGAGCTAAACGTGAACTTTGATCTTTCAATTCAAAATCTAGAAAGAATTTGGCTGTGGTCCTAAAAGCAAAGTTGTAGAGAATTAAATTCTAAACAACTTTCATTTTTGGTACATTTTCAAAAGAGGTCATTTTCTTGCTCAAAATAATATTTGAAAGATAGCATTTAAAAATTCCTTGAAAATACAAATGAAAAAGGATTTTTTTCATTTTGTGACCCCGCCGTCTCGCTTCGGCCCATTGACCCATAAGCCCGCCCAGCAAAGCCCTTGCGCGCCTCGCCTCGGCCCACCCCAGCCGCCCGGCCCACTTTGCCTCCTCCGCGCCGCGCCATCCCCTCTTTGCTTTCGCCCGCGCCACGCTTGCGGCCATGGCAGAGAATTCCATGGCGTGGCGACCCCGCGCCGGCGTCGCCCGCCGCCAGCGTCGGCCATGACGACGACACAGCGCCCCGCGCCCGCCTTCACCTGCTGGTGCCCGTCGCTCGCTCACTCCCCCCATGCATGTTGCCTTCCTTCTCCTCGAGCCGAGAGCCTCAAGCTACGCCCTCATGGCATACGCACCGCGGCGTGATTCACCGCCGGTGCTCCTCCACGGCCCGACAATCAAGCACCGGCAGCTCCGCCTCGCTCTCCGGCACTGGTGCTCGTGGTTGTGCCGTCGTTTGAGCCGAGGTAGCGCTTTTTCCAAGCCGCCGCCGTCGTCCATGGCGCCTTGCGTGCTCGGCCGCCGTGGGCGCCCTCTTCCTCCCTTCTCGGTCGTGCTTAGTTTGTGCTTTCGTTTTCGCCATGGCCTCGCGAACCTCCTCCTGCGCTCGCTTGCTTGCGCTGCCGTGGCCGGAGATGGCCGCCCGACCTCGTGGCGAAAGGCACAGCATGTCGCGCCAGCAGCAGATGCCGTGAACCCTACCTTCGACCGACCGGTAGGTAGAAGCGAACCAGTAAAGCGCCGTGTGGGTGAAAGCCTGTTGCCCGAGCCCGGCGCTCCTCCTCGGCGCGCAAGGCGCGCGGGCAGATGCGACCATGGGCCAGCTGTTTCCCTTGGCCGGCCCAGCCGGTGTTTTAAATGAATTGTTTTCAATTTATTCATTATTATTTGAAAACAGAAATGGTTTGCAAAATATTTGGATACTCAAAGTTGCTCCAAATTTGTTGAAACAAATTTTGCTAGGTTCCTTATCATCAGATCTACTTGGGAAAAATTGTGCATGTCATTTTTGAGATACTTTTCTATAGGATTTTATTTAATCTTGAATATTGCTGATAACTTGAAAAATATGTAGAAAAATATATAGGCTTCAGAAAAATATGATTCCAAGTTTGTTAATCTTCTTATGTCATGTACTTCCTAGGAAAAATATGTTTCATGCATGTGCTGTTGGAAAAATTTGAGGTGTAGTTCAAGTACCTTAGATGGCTGATTTTTGTTATTTTTGCTAGAGAGCAAAATTTGTATAAAACATGCATGTGGTAATTTTTGTGTAGTGATTATTTACTGTTTAGAATCTAGGAAAAATACTAATTCTGTTGTTTGACACTTTTCATAGTACAAAGTAATTTCATGCTCATTTTTATGCTATAGCTTGTCATTTTTGTGTAGGATAGTTTACTTATCCAAATGCCATGAAATTTTTATGGTAGTCTGTTTAGGGTATTATTATGCTACTGTAATTTTCTCAGATTTTTAGGAGCATCAGAAATATAGGTTGCTATTCAAACCTATTATTAATTAAGGTTTAAGCAAGTGTTGCCTTAAGTGTGATTAAGAAATTAGTAAAGCTTTGGTGTATCTTTGAAGCATTTAATAAAATATGTTGACTTAACATATTGGTAGTAGAAGA